CCAGTCACTGAAATAACGAAGGGTCCATTATCAAAAACTACCAATCAATGTTCAAATTCACTTAAAAACTATGATCAAAATCATATTTATAAACACATACACTTAAAATCATACTAGAACATACTGTGTACGGTAAATAAATTACCTTGATCCATTCCACTCTGACCTTGGTCCATTGCTCTTCAAACCTTCGATGTCACTTTCGAGTCAAACTTCCAAAAGTTATCAAACCTTCATAAGAAACAACAAAGATATGAGTCAGAAGAGAAATGAAAGAGACCGATGGAAGATATGAGACAAAGATGTGAGTTAGAACTTCAGAAGAGAAACAGTGAGAGACGGTTGCGATTGATGAGAATAAGGTGAGGGACGGTGGTGAATAATGAGAAGAGGGTGAGGGATAGTGGTGGTGAATGGTGATCGGTAAGGATGGAAGTGTGCTGCTAGGGTTTTTTTACAAGTAATGGAGAAAATCAGAGATAGCGTGAAAGGTAGCGTGAAAGAGAAATGAAAAGGAAAAAGGTAGCGTGACTGTGAAAGAGAAATGAAAAGGAAAAAGGAAAGGTTTCACATTCGGGCGGGTCAGGGTACCCGCGGGTCAGCTTTTCGTACCCGGCCCGCCCATATCAACCCTCTTAAACCCAAATATATCAACCCGCTTGACCCAATTGACCGAATGAACCCGCCCAATTTCCAAAAAAAAATCGGTTTCAATCGGGTCAGGTCGGGTAGACGGTTTCTGTCCACCCCTAGCTCGGCCTATAAATACCACATTTGGGAATTCAGAAAATCATATCACAAACCAATATTCTCTTGCATAAAATTTCAGACACAATTCGCTACATAATTGAGTTTTCATCGGTCTTACGCAAATTTGATATAAGGCTGAATTATCCTGGGTATTCTTATGTTCCAACTCTAAGACACACTGGATGTATGATTGGGCCTTGAGGAGAAGAGTGTTCAAGGTACGGGTGCATTTGATCTTGACGGCTTTGGCAAAGTTGGAGTGAGGTCGTATGCCTCTCTAGATTAGGAATTTCTTCATATCATCTGTGGTGGACACCTAGACGGATTCTTGGTTGAACCTCTCTATGTAATCTCGAAGAGGTTTGTTCTTCCCCTGGATGATGGCTTCCAGGGCTGCCTCTGTCTTTGGATGGCGCTGAGAAGCTGTGAAGTGCCTGGAGAACTTTCTTTTCAGTTCGCCCTAGGAGGTGATGGATTCGGGTGCGAGGCGTTTGTACCACACCATGGCACCCTTTCTCAGGGTAGTGGGGAAAAGCCTGCACTTGATGGCTCCCTGCACGTTCCGATAATCGAGCATCGCGTCGATAATTTCTATGTGGTTGTCTAGGTCAGTCGTGCTAACATACGTTGCCAAGGGCGGGGGTTTCTCCATCTCGATGGACGATAAGGCCTCTTTGATGGCCCTACACAGTGGTGAGCGTTGGATGTCCTCGTCACTCCTGAAAGGTGACAGTGAGGGGGAGACAAATCCCTGGTTGTTTCTGTTTCTTCAGGGAGGACTCCTCGGTCGGGCTCTTGACTTGGTAACGCATCTTTCGACTTTGTTCTTCTTTTGAGTTGGGGAGCGTCGTTCCTTCCAGGGAGGTGAGGGGTTGTTGGAAACTGGGCGGTAATGTCTCCGCGGGGGAGGAAAGGGGTTGTTGGAAACTGGGTGGCAATGTCTCCGCGGGGGAGAGCATGATGGTCGCTCCCTCTCGAGCATCCCTATTCGCTCGTTCTGTTGAAAGATCATCAGGTTGAAGGTCGTGTCTTCTGAGGAGGGAGAGGAAGTGCTCTCGTCCCTACAGTCGCTCTCTTCGTTGCGAATGATGACTTTGGGGTCGTGGTCGTCCTTGTTGGTGAAAGAGACAAAGGTGGTTTCCGGAGCATTATCGTCGCCTGGGTTGGCCATGATCAGAATGGAAGTTGAAAGTTGCTTTGGTCCTTGAGCTTCTATGCTTGGATAGGAGAAATAACGGGGGAGCAAATGGTTCCTATAGACGGCGCCACTGATCTCACCTGACTAGAAAAGAATCAGTAGCCTACCACGTGTCGCGAGCTCTTGTGTTTGTCGCTGTTGTAGAGGAGGAGGGGGTGTACATGCAAGGTACTTCGATGCTTAAGTGAGTAACAGAGTTTTAGAAAGAGCAAGTACAGAGAGAATAGGTGTAAAGAATAAGATATCTGACCCTCTAGTGAAAGAGGGTATTTATAATGTGCCCCTAGTGCAGGGCCAACGATTACATTGCATTGGGGCGGACTACCAAGCCCAACACAAGTAACTGCTAGGGATTACATGGCATAGTGAAGAAAAACATGTGATCTTCGCTCTAGATCGAATGCCTGGTGATCTTCAGAAGATGGGCTGACATTCTCTTTCGGAATCGGGTAATTTCTTGATGATGTGTCCCCGCGTGTGGGAGACGTGGAGAACATGGGAGAAGCGCGTAGGCTCTCCGTGTGCCAAATAGCGGTCTGCTTAATTGAGAGGCCTTGTTGAGAAGGGTGCCCGACATGGGAGGATTGGGCCTTGTTGGGCTTCCCCAAAGTAGCATTGTGTTGGGCCTTCTCGGCTAAGGGGCAGGTCTCGGCCCAGTCCAGAACAATTACTTTGACGCATATGCACTAATAGCAAGAACAACAACAACTAGAGTATTGTTCACCTTGGCCTCTTTGAATGACCTTATAGTTCATCAAATGGATGTTAAAACGACATTCTTAAATGGAGATCTCGATGAGGAAATCTACATGGAACAACCAGAAGGCTATGTACTTCTTGAAAATGAATAAAAGGTGTGTAAGCTTGTCAAATCCCTATATGGACTAAAGCAAGCACCAAAACAATGGCATCAAAAATTTGATTTTGTCATACTTTTAAATAGATTTACTCCCAATTCTTGTGACAAGTGTTTATACACAAAAGTACGGAAAAATATTGTAATATTCCTGTGTTTATACGTTGATGATATGTTGATAATTAGCAACAACATGGATGAAATTTTAGAAACAAAAAGGTTCCTAACTTCCACATTCAAGATGAAAGATCCTGGATTAGTTGACAGAATTTTAGGAATCAAAGTGAGGAGAAATAATGGGGGTTATGAACTTAGTCAAACACATTATATTGAAAAAATGCTTGATAAGTTCAAACACCTAAACTTTAAGGAAGTAACCACTTCATTTGATCATGCCGTCAAACTTCAAAAGAACAATGGAAAAGCAGTGGCTCAATTGGAGTATGCAAGTGTGGTAGGGTGTCTTATGTACTTGATTCAATGTACCATATCCGTCATTTTTTATTTGACCAATGTCAAGTACTCTGAGAGGTTATCGTTTTTGGCTTGATGCTCTCCCGTACCTGGAGGGCTACGAGCTTAGAATCTATGCAGATTACGACTTCCTCGGCTCCCAGGTCCTCGGCGAGGCATAGGCCCGCAATGAAAACTTCGCACTCTGTCTGATTGTTGGAGGTGGGTAAAGACAGAGCGAGCGAGACCTCGACGAAGATACCTTCTTTGTTTTCCAAGATGATGCCTGCTCCGCTCCCCGTCGAGTTGGATGCTCCATTGACAAAGATTGCCCACTTGCGAGCTCCGTAAGTCGGGGAGGCAGGCAAGGTCATCTCCGCCATGAAGTTGGCCATCACCTGAGCTTTGAGGGCTTTTTTACTCTTGTATTTGATGTCGAACTAGGACAGCTCCAGCGACCATTTGAGCATCCTGTCGGCCATGTCTGGACGGCCCAACAGTTGCCTCACAGGTTGGTCCGTACGTACCACGATGGCGTTGGCTAAAAAATAGTGCCCCAACCTCCTTGCTGCATTGATGAGGGCCATGACTACTTTTTTGATCTGATGATATCTAAGTTCTATCCCTTGCAACTCCTTTCTCGTGAAGTATATGGCCTTTTACCCTTATGGGGTTTTACGAATAAGGGTTGCGCTTACGACCCCGGATGCAACGGCGAGATAGAGATAGAGGGTCTCCCCGTTGTCTAGTCGGGAGAGGACCAGAGGTTCCAATAGCGCTTGCTTTAGGTGGAGGAGGCCTTTGTCGCATTCCTCCTTCCATTCAAAAGCCGCCTCTTTGCGGAGGAGTTTGAAAAAGGGAAGTGCATGCTGAGCAGATTTTGCCACGAAATAGGACAGTGAGGTGAGCATCCCATTCAATGATTGAATCGATTTTTTCGAGCTCGACATGGGAAATTCGGAGAAGACTCTACATTTGTCGGGGTTGACTTTGATTCCTTGTTCTGTGAGGTAGACACCGAAGAACTTTCCTGCCCGTACCCCAAACGTGCACTTCTCCGGATTGAAGCGCATTATGTACTTCCTGTCCTGTTCGAAGACCTTCTTTAGATGGAGCGTATGGTCGGATTATTCGTGGGATTTCACGATCATGTCGTCCATGTAAACCTCGAGCATATCTCCAATTTCTCCTCAGAAGACTTTGTTCATCATTCTTTAGTGACCTAAACTAATTTTAAAACTTTAAATTAAATAGTGTAACTATACAACATTGGCGTAAAAAGTTTGTAAATAACTTTTACGGATACTATAGATCCATACTATTTTTTCATCATAAAATCAAAAGTAGTTCTCTTTTTGGTTTACCATTATATTGTCAAATTATTATACATTTGATTAATTGTTATATTATTAATAGTTTCACGAAATTCTTTGGCGAGTGTTCGAGTGACGTTAGGATTTGGACTCACTCATCTATAATATATAATAATATATACTTTTAGAATAACATGTGTGGTGTGGTTATGCTTTTTTCAAACTTTATTTCAATGTCACACACATCACCTAATTTCACATTAGAAACTCCATAGAAGCTTCATGTGTTAAATCCTTTGGTCTATTTTTCAAATTTTCCACACCCTCTAAAACCAACTACTACCGCAACCACTCTTATATATTATAAAAGAATCCAACTACATTTCTAACTAAGCAATATATCATATCTTAGTTTTGTTCATCAAATACTATGGTTCAAGAAAAGAAGCTAGTCGATGAAGTGTCCGGTTGGCTTAGAATCTACGATGACGGTTCGGTGGACCGGACATGGTACGGTCCACCTGAGGTCAATTTCATGATTGAACCGGTTGCTCCCCATGAGCATTTCATTGATGGAGTTGCGATTCGTGATGTTACCATGAACACTATCACCGATGACAACTTCATCCACCGTGCTCGGTTATACCTACCGGAGAAAACACCAAAGGAAAATGAGAAATTGCCTATACTCGTGCACTTTCACGGAGGCGGTTTTTGCATTAGCGAACCGGATTGGTTCATGTACTATAAGGTTTACACTCAGTTTGTTAAGTCTACTCGGTCTATTTGTGTCTCCCCGTTCCTCAGACGAGCCCCGGAGCATCGTCTTCCCGCTGCCACTGATGACGGGTTGGCAACGCTCCGTTGGCTTCAATATGTGGCCAAGGGAGACACGCGTGACGAGTGGCTTGAGAAGCACGGCGACTTTGACAGAGTTTTTCTCATAGGAGATAGCTCTGGAGGAAATTTAGTCCATGAAGTGTCTGCTAGAGCAAGCACAACCGACCTGAGACCAGTTCGACTCGCAGGGGCAATTCCCATCCATCCCGGATATGTCCGGTCGGAGCGAAGCCGATCCGAAAATGAAATGCCAGAATCTCCATTTCTTACACTGGACATGCTGGACAAATTCTTGAGTTTATCACTACCAATCGGTAGCAACAAGGACCATCCCGTCACGTGCCCGATGGGCGAGGCGGCGCCGCCTCTTGCCGGCCTCAAACTGCCGCCATATCTTCTCTGCGTAGCTGAAAAAGACCTATTGAGGGACACACAAATGGAGTACTATGAAGCCATGAAGAAGGCTAATAAAGAAGTGGATCTGTTTGTGAGCAAGGAAATGACACATAGTTTCTATCTCAACAAGATTGCTGTGGATATGGATCCCACAGTCAATGCTGAAATGAATGCACTCATTGGTAGGGTTAAGGATTTTATTGAGAAGCATTAAATTTTGAAAATATATGTCTTGTTTAAGGTTGATTGCTATGTGCGGCGGTTGTCATGTTTCCTTATGTGTGGCGGTTGTTATGTTTCCGTATGAATGTGTTGTTACCTTTTTTATGTTAATAATAAGCAATCGAAAGCCAATTTGGATTCTATATTGTATAATTCACTTTTTTAATTGTATTGACTTATGAAATTTTAACCCATTAGTTGACAATCAGTCCTCTAGAATATAAAAAAAAGTACTAACAAGAAATTAACTACTATACACTATTCATTTATCATCATTATTGGTTGGAAAATAACTAGTAGTTATGATTAACTAACTGAAAAAATTTGTACACTCTCAATAAAATTTAAAATTTTTAAATCTTTAATTCCTAAGTAATAATTTTTTCCCGACAATTTTTAGAGGTAATTTATGGCGATTTTGTTTAACAATTTTTACATAAATTAATTTTTATTAATTTATGTTTGTTTTTCTAAAATTAAACTAAAATAAGTAATTTGAAAAGTGTTATTTAGTGTGTTTTTTTTCAAATGAGAAAAAAGAAAAGAAAAAAAATTATTATGAAAAAAAGTTTAATTAGTGTTTTTTTTAAAATTCTTAAGTAGTCTATCTTCTTTCGAACGAGGAACCCTCTAAAATGAAATTCTTAATAAAAAAGGAATACTTTTAAATTCATAAGAGATTTCTTTGTCTATGTATCATACTGTTTGATCTTTTAGATCAAGATGTCACCTCGACGGGTCTGTCACGATGTCTTAAATAAATAAACTTCTGCAATCATGATATATTTTATTCTTTGAACATAATTCGAGTTCTTAAAAAAAGAGATGGAACAATGAATTGTAACATATCTATCTGATATCTGATATGTAACATATTTATATTTATAAATAACATAAACGCCCGCACGCATTATGGGCGTCATACGAATTCAATAATGTCTACAGAAATCCATCGAAAAATGAATAAAATTCATTGTCTTGTTTTTGTCTTAAAAATACAAGACATTTTTATGAACGAAATTTATCTTTTCTCTGTCCTAAAGATAATGGTTATTTTGTTCCAAACAACCGTCTATCCGCCAAATATCCTAATCGATGTATTGACTCTCTGTTTTATCGCTCTGTTTTTTAGGCATATATTTTTCATTTTGTTTTTTTATTTAGTTAAAATAATATGTGATTATTTATTTGAAATCGTTGGTGAATATATTCGCGAGGCACTAAAAAAATAATTTTTGCGTGTTTATGTTTTAAAACACACTTGGATGGACACTATCTCAGGATGACTTTCTGATGCAATCCATAAATCCTTTTTTTTCTTTGTCCCAATCTTTCCCTAAAACTAAAAAACAAAGAAAAAGGGGATACCCGTTAGAAAGAGTCCACTTCTTTCCCATACTACAAGGGAAAGAGAAAATATAAAAACTACCATTAAAGCAGCCCAAATAAGACTTACTTTATTCATGTCAATTATGTCTCCTATTTATATCAATATGAAGAAATTCTTTTATTAACTTTTTTTTCTAAATAGAATTTAGAAGAATTATTATTTCGATAGTCGGATAGATGGAGTATTTTATAGAATTTTTTCCCCTTTTCTCGAAAATTTCGTGAAAAGGGAAAGAAAAAAAGAAAAGCGTCCATTGTCTAATGGATAGGACAAAGATCTTTTAAACCTTTGGTATAAGTTCGGGCTGTTCAAAAGGATTCCCTGTTCTTCCATCAAATATTCTACTCTTTCCCGAATTCTCAGGTTCAAATATCCATACTGAAATTTTATTTTTGGTTACGATCGGCAATTTCGAATCAGTGCAATCAGTATAGTTATCCTTCTTCTAAAACAATAACGAAATTTTACAATCAGTGACCCAAGTAGCTTCATCCTCGTCAGTAGCTACCTTTGGAACACCTACTGGCATTAAAAAAATGATGAAGTTGTCTGACACCAGCATGTTACTTTGCTGTAAAATTGTCTGACATAGGTCTGCTTCTGGCCTGGATCAACTAAAGTTAAATGGAATGATGCCAGAAAGAATTTTGATACAAACATTAAATGGTGGTGTAGTAGCAGACAATATATATATATATATATATATATATATATATATATATATATATATATATATATATATATATATATATATATATATATATATATATATATATATATATATATATATATATATATATATATATATATATATATATATATATATATATATATATATATATATATATATAGAGAGAGAGAGAGAGAGAGAGAGAGAGAGATTTATAACTTCTACAAGAACAATAAATAGGTAATAACTAACCACATTTTTTTCTTTATTGATTTATTACATATTTCTGATATTTACATCAGAAATATGTAATAAATAAATTTTTTATTTTTTTAAAAGAGAGAATCAGCGATTTGATAGCAAAAGCAATAAGAAATGTTGTATAAAATATTACTTCTAGTGCCATGGGATATGATTGATTAATTAATGTTTCAAAATTAAATGTTGGTTCATTAGAGCCGTATAAACCAATACCTAGAATTTCCATTAATGAAAAACATTGGCATGAGCTTAATAATCCATTTTTTAATAACTTATAGGGGCGCAAATAATAATTTATTTTGGCTTTTTGGCTCCATATTTTGAACGCCCTTGTTGACGATCCATTACTCTGCCAGCATCTAAGGGTCCTCGAACAATGTGATTCTCAAACCAAGTAAATCCTTAATCCTTCCCCCTCTTACTAAGACACTTGATGCCGGATAAAACAAATCTTGATTTTCGATATAAAGTTTAATAAAAAAATTGAATTATTTTAAAATTTTAAAAATAGAAGATACTAATGATGAGTTTCGAATTATTGAATAAGGTTGTTTTTAAACTGATTGTGAAGTGACGAAAAATAGCAAAAATTCTGTTATTGATTTAGTGCAGTTACAATTTATAATTCTACAAGAACAATAAATAGGTAATAACTAACCAATTTTTTTTCTTTATTGATTTATTACATATTTATGATATTTACATCAATATGTAATAAATAAAAATTTAATTTTTTTTAAAGAGAGGTTACTAATTATGAGTTCCAAATTATGGAATAAAGTTGTTTTTAAAGTGTTTTTGAACGGGTGGAAAACAACAGAAATCCTGTTATTTATTGCCATTACGATATATAAATTATACAAGAAAAATAAATAGATAATAATTAACCACATTTTTTTCTCCATATATTCTCTCCGGATTCCATTGCTACTACACGCTTTACACAATTAATCATAAAAATTAGATTATGGATATATTCTAAATATATATATACTCTAATTTTTTTGACTCATAAGGAACTAAAAAAAACAATTATCTTTTTCATTACTGAATTGAAGTCAGAACTAGATAGTTCTAGTGTATTGCTTTTTATTTTATTTAAAAAAGTCAAAATTGAAAAGAAAAAAAAAGATCTGAATAGAGAAATCACATTCATTTACTTAAATTAAAAATGATTCCATATATTATATATTTATCTATTCAGATCTGTTCAATAAAAAACATAAATAGTGATTGCATTGATGATAAAATAGAATCCTGGATCGCGAATAGTGAGTTAATTGCGGATTAAAAAAAGAGAATTCTTGCTCACTTTCTCTACCTTAACGACAGGATGGATCAAATTTTAGTGAGTCTTACTAATAACTCTGGTTATCAAAGAATAACTCTGTTATCAAATGATTGAACAACCGGGAACAATTTATTTATTATCTATCTTACGGCAGATGTTCTATGGATACAAGTTTTTGGTTGACAAGGTTGAAGCTATTCTATCTAATTTTTGATGGATGATTCTTGTGTATCACTCTTAAGAGGTAAGTTAAGAAAAAAATATTCGAGAACAAAGCAAGTGGATTGGTTTATTTTTTTGAATATTTAATAACAAATGAAATGTATTAATTCATATTTATTAAAATATTTAATAATAAAAAATATGGAATAATAAATATAATTTAATAATAGATTTTCTTGGCACCATCCAATCAATTCAATTATTTATAAATTTCAATGATTTCAATTTTCAAGATCAACCTGGTGCATCTCTTTTACATTTAAGAAAAGTCTGAAATCTTGGATTGCTAATTGGTGGAATAAAGAATCCGAAAATGTCTTGAATACTATTTAAGAAAAAGTATTTTTAAGAAATTTCTAGAGTTCGAGGAACTGTTCCTCTTGCATGAAATGCTAAAGAAATACCCGGAAACACGTTTACAAAACCTTCGTATCGAAATCTACAAAGCGATCATCCAATTGATTCAAACGAACAACGAAGATCATATCCATACGATTTTCCATTTTTTTACAAATATAATATGTTTCCTTATTCTAAGTGTTTATTCTATTAGGGGTAATAAAGAACTCGTTATTCTTAAATCTTGGGTTCAAGAATTTCTATATAACTTATTGATCGATTTTTGCGAATATGCAGAAATCTTTCTCATTATTATAATGGATCCTCAAAAAAAAAAGTTTGTATCGAATAAAATATATACTTCGACTTTATTGTATTAAAACTTTGGCTTGTAAACACAAAAGTACTAATGAAAAGATCAGGTTCAAAAGAATTATTGCAAAAATTCTTTACAGAGGAAGAGATTCTTTCTCTGATTTCGTATAAAAATCTAATGGGATGTTTCGTCAATGGCCATAATACCTTCTATTTCATTCTCTCTCTCTCTATATAGAAAATAGTAAAGAGTATATAGAATATTATCTTCAATATAAATAAATATTTTAAGATATATTAAATATTCTTTTTTAATATTTTTTTTATTTTTTTAAATTCAATAATGACTAATTAGATTAGATTTATTTATATTCAAAAATGAATATGCATTAAGATGATCTAAGTTTTCATTACTTATCCAATTTCTTTGGATAATCCATCCAATTAGAAGTCAAATGGATATCTATAAATTCATATGGATATATTATATGTATAAAATACATT